AGCCTTCTGGCATGTCAGTCACTCCTCCCAGACACTCCACTCCCAGCTCCAGTTCAGAGCTGCAGCAGAATAAAGGGACTTGCTGACAAGCAGCGTTCAGGGCTGGAGACTTCAACGTGCAGATCTTTGTGAAGACCCTGACTGGCAAGACCATCACCCTTGAGGTTGAGCCCAGTGACACCATTGAGAATGTGAAGGCCAAGATCCAGGACAAGGAAGGCATTCCCCCCGATCAGCAGAGGCTGATCTTTGCTGGCAAGCAGCTGGAAGATGGTTGTACCTTGTCCGATTACAACATCTAGAAGGAATCCACCCTCCATCTTGTCCTGCGCCTGAGAGGTGGCATGCAGATTTATGGAAAATATTTTCCACTAAAGTAATGCTATGTATTACTCTCAAAATATGGGTCAGAGCACTCCACTGTGATGGTGAAGAAATAGTTACTCTACTTGTTACTCTGCCTTCATAAAACAAGTCTTCATTACAAACGTACTTTATAATGGCATTGTATAAGCCACAAATGAAATGTGATTTAGCTTGGTAAAAATGTAAACATTTAATTAAAACAGATAATGAGTTAATCACAAAACAAGACTGCTTATGTCATGTAAAAAAGATAAAGTAAATCATTACTCTATAAATAAATTCACACAGGTTTTATTCGCAGTGATTTCCATTTTAATGTTCATGTGCTAGGACCGATTCAATAAAAAATTGAAATTGTTCTATCTTCAACATTTATTGCTTTGAGACATTACACAAAGTAAAAGGAATAGCATAACATTTTAAATTTTCCTCTTTGCTTACACTGAAACTCCTCCAACTCTAAACCATTCTAATTAAGCACCTACTATTCAATATAAAAGAATCTCTGAACTTCAAAGGGAGGCATCTGCCAAAAAAAAAAAAAAATCTCAGTGTTTAAAAGACCAAGCCTCCTTCATGTATTAGTGTTTCTAGAGCACTCCTTAGATGGTTTTAATAAAAATGCTCATGTCAGACTGAAAATGTGATTTTTTTCATATGTATACAGTAGAATTAACCATTTTTTCCTTTTTTCCTCCTTTTTTTTTTACCATAATTGTTTTTGAGCTGCTTAACCTATGAACTTAAAACATGTTCTCATAACCTCCCAGCTTCCCATTGTGTGTTCTCTTCAGTTTTATGCTATGTTGACTGAATATAAATTGACTCATGGCAAGTCACTAGTACTCCTGAAAATTCTGGTCACATGTTAACTGACACTAATGTGAAAAAGGCACATAAAAACACATTTGCTGTTAAGAGATGCTGTGTTTCCTAGAATACAATGAACACTGTGTGTGGATACACATATATATGCATACAACTATGAAAGCATTATTTTGATTATAATACTGATTTTAGTCCTGCAATGAACACTACAATTATCTTTTAAGTTCTCAACCTAGTAAGAAAAATTATCTGACTCTTCCAAGTAATTATGCATTACAACTGAGTCACTGCATCACCTGGCTGCTGGCCACACAGACCAAGAGAAAGATTCTTATCCCAAAGTTACAGTAATTACTATGCATCTCTCAATCTTCCCGTGCATCTGCATATGCACAGAGTGTACAGGCCTGCATACAGTGCAAGGTCCTGCACCTGGGTAGTGGCAAACCCTGGTATCAATACAGGCTGGGGGATGAAGACACTGAGAGCAGCCCTGCTGAGAAGGACTTGGAGATACTGGTGGATGAAAAGCTCGGCATGAGCCGGCAATGTGCGCTTGCAGCCCAGAAGGCCAATTGTACCCTGGGCTGCATCAAGAGAAGGGTGGTCAGCAGGTGGAGGGAGGTGATTCTGCCCCTCTACTCATTCTTGTAACCCCATCTGGAGTACTGCATTCACCTCTGGAGTCCTCAGCACAAGACATGGACCTGTTGGAACAGGTCCAGAGGAGGGCCACAAATATTATCAGAGTTGCTACCTATCCTATGAAGAGAGGCTGAGACAGTTGGGGTTGTTCAGCCTGCAGAAGAGAAGACTCTGGGGAGACCTTATTGTGTCATTTCAATACTTAAAGAGGGCCTGTAAGAAACATGGGGAAAGATGTTTTAGAAGGGCATGCTGCAATAGGTAATGGTTTTAAACTGAAAGAGGGTAGATTCAGACTACATACAAGGAAGAATTTTTTTTTACAATTAGGATGGTGAAACACTGGGACAGGTTGTCCAGATTGGTAGTAGAAGCCCCATCCTTGGAAATATTCAAGGTCAGGTTAGACAGGGCTCTTAACAACCTGATCTAGTTAAAGCTGTCCCTGGTTATTGCAGGGGGGTTGTGCTAGATGACCTTTAAAGGCCCCTTCCAACACAACCTATTCTATGATTCTGCAACAGCCAAAGTCAAAAGGAAAGATCCAAACCACATACATCCCGCAAGAACCTGGCCCTGCGTACGCCAACAACAATTTGTTCATGTGCCGTGTGTGTAAATTAGTGCTGCCTACAAATGGTCAAAAGGAAATTTTTTCGTTACAACTCCAGAAAAATTCTACCTGATAAACTGAATTTGTTAGTTACAAATGCAGAGAAAGGCATCCTTCTTCTGGTCTGGGATATCTAGTGTCCAGACAGATCTTCAACTGTACAAAACCACTATAAAGAACTATAATCACAGGAATAATCTTTTGATTATTATTCGAGAAAAAACTGGAATAAAATACAACAATAATCACTTAATATTTATCTAGGCAGTTTTGGGTTTTTTTTTAAAAGTACGTCAACAGTTTCATTGATTTGACACACAGCACTACATGACACAAATATATATCTCACATAATCACAGAATCATAGGGGTTGGAAGGGAATTCAGGGGACCATCTAGTCCAGCCCCCCTGCCAAGGCAGGTTCCCTACAAAAGGTTGCAAAGGAAAGTGTCCAGGTGGATTTTGAACATCTCCAGAGATGGAGACTCTCTCTGGGCAGCCTATTCCAGTGCTTTGATGTCCTCACAGTAAAGAGGTTTTTCCTTAAGTTTGTATGGAACTTTCAGTGTTCCAGTTTTTACCCACTGCCTCTTGTCTTGTCACTGGGTACTACTGAAAAAAGCCCGGCCTCATCCATTTGGCCCCCCACACTTCAGGTATTTATAGACATTGATAAGATCCCCTCTCAGTCTTCTCTTCTCCAGGCTGAAGAGTCCCAGCTCTCTCAGCCTTTCCTCATCTGGGAGATGCTCCAGGCCCCCTAATCATCTTTGGCCCCCCACTGGACTCTCTATAGAAGATCCCTGTCTTGAACTGGGGAGCCCAGAACTGGACACAGTACTCCATTTACAAGTTTCAACACTGAAATGATAAAACATCCACAGCTGTGCTCAGACACATAGAAATAATACATTTCCATATAAAACATAGGAAAAAAAGTAAAATTTAAGAATGACAGACAATTCCTTCTTCCATTCCCCTAAAACCTGTTTAAGATTCCAATTACTCTTCATGTATGTCCTTATTTGTATTGTGCTCTTGGTAACACTACAGAAGTGAGGATTTTGAATCAAAATAATTTGAAGGCAGTATTTTTAAAAAATTTTGAATTAAAAATGCAAATAGTATGCAAATTTCTGCAGAGAGAGGTACTGAATCTCTAGCATGTAACAGAGCAGAAGGCTAGAAGCCAGAGCAGACATACAACCTGCTCTCAGAAAACTTCTAGACTTTGGTATTACTCATCTTGCTCATCCTGAAATAGATCCAAAACAAAGATTCACCTGGCAAAGAAATGGCAAGTATTTATTGAGATCTACAAATACTCACCTACTTGCACAACTTCCTACAAACTGAATAATATGAAATAATCTGACATGGGGACATTTATTTAATATAACTGCTTTCTTATAGCTAAGGCTACTAAGTATTATGTAAGCCAGTATTTCTATAATTTCTCCAACTTCCGTGTATTTTTTCTTAATCTAAATCAAGACTTCATAGCAAAGACTCCAGTACATATGTTTTTTAATTGGCAAATTCAAGTGAAGGTGATCTCTGAAAAGTAAATGCATTTCTAACAATATTTCCTTAAAACTAGGCTCCATCATGTCATGCTGAAAAGTTACAAATACCTGAAAATAATTTTGATAGCATTTTTGAATAAAGTAAATAGAATAAATTAAAAATTCTGAATTGTTTCACAGGAACAGAAAGAAAGAAAAGCTCTCAGACTGAAAACACTCATCTTCAACTAGAACCAGAGACAGGTGTTTTCTCATATGGTTGCCTCTGTACATGATACTGGATTTGAAGCACATCTTTTCAACCTACTGTACTTCTACTCTTAAACTACTCATTTGACTACAAAATGCTCTGGGTATTGTGTTATCTTTTATGATGGGAGAGTCTTGCAGAAGACATTTTTTTCTTTTTTTAATTATGCTCCAGAGAAAGAAAGAGGTCAGCCAAAATAACAGTATCCTATCAACATATCATTTCAGTTGGTGGTCTAAGCAGCCAACACGTCAACTGGTTTACTACTTAAACTGGTCGTTGCTTTTCAACAAATGCTTCCACTAACAAAAAAGTAGACAAAAAAATCAATGCATCTATGTAGCTTTTCAACAAATGCTTCCACTAACAAAAAAATCAATGCATCTATGTGGTCTATTTCATGTTTCCCACTGCAGGAAGGTAAAGGGCCAGAAGCTGCACTTTCAATACGTGAGGAGCAGAGATACCCCAAAGTTTGAGAACACAAAAGGAGATCAACTCAAAAATCTTTCTTTGAGAACACATATTTCACAAAGTTACAGATGGAAGCTGAGAACCAGAACTGTATGCAGGTCTTGATCAGATGCTTAAGTCTTTATACTTTGGACAAGCCCATTTGCCTACTTTACAAAAAAAGTAAACCAAGCCTCAGAGTGATTTATTACTGTTAACTACATCAATGACATGAGTGCTGTGAGGCTAATGTTGCTTCTACACTTGAAAATCCCAGGATGAAAGGCATAGCATAAATCCAAAGTAGTAGCAGCATAATTAACTGTTCAGTGTAAAAACTATCTTGGGCTTTGAAAAGCTATCTTTTGCTCTTAAACGTGTGAGTATCAACACATTTCAGGATTAACTAGCTCTGCACAGTTATCCTACACTGACATAAAAATTCCAGACATGATACAGTACTCACATTCAGAAACATTATCCCTTGTCAAAAGAACGGTATTTCCAATTTTGTGAGGAAAAATTGCATTGATACAACAATGAATAGAGCTGCTATTAATAAAGATAGTTATTATGTACAAAGGTGGACACATATGAACCAACTCACTCACATAAGAAGGAAGTACAATTTAAACACAAAACTTTATGGACAACTACACTGAAAGAACAATCGGTGCTGAGTGAGGATGGGAGCTTCTG